TGAAAAGAATCGGGGCGGGATTAGTCTGGATTTCAACCACCAGTTCCTGACACAACGACAAATCCCCCCAGGGAATCATGCCCAAAAAAATTTTGGCCACTTTCAGGTCCCTCACACTGCGGGGTTTCCATTTTTTGTCAAGGGTGGGGCAGATTACGGCCTCCCATACTGCTCCCAGGCCCCTAATCTGCCGGGGCCCCTAACTGCCACCTCATGCTGCGCCAAGTCCAGAGTCTCTCATGGTCCCTGTACGGCCTCCCATTGCTGCTGTCTCCTCGCCACACTCTGCCATGTGCCACTTTCGGGTCCCCACACTGCGGGTGTTTGAATTTTTCGACATAGGGTGCGGGCAGTTAAAGGGGCCTCCCAAGCTGCTGCCAGGCCCCTAACTGCCATGGGCCCCTAAAAACCCCCCCTCATGCTGCTCCCAAGCCCCAGATCGCCCATGGGTCCCGTACGGCCTCCCATTGCTGCTGCTCCATCGCCACCTCTGCCATGTGCCCTTTCAGGTCTCCTCACACTGCGGTGTTTTTGAATTTTTTGACATAGGGTGTGGAAATTTACGGGCCTCCCAGCTGCTCCGGGCCCCTAACTGCCAGGGGCCCCTATACCGCCTCCTCATGCTGCGCCAAGTCCAGAGTCTGTCAGGGTCCTGAGGGCCCCCCATGCTGCTGTCCCCACCCCAAACCCCCTCTCATGTCCACTTTCAGGTCTCCTCACACTGCTGGGTTTTGAATTTTTTACATAGGGTGCTGGCAATTACGGGCCCCATAGCTGCTGCCGGGCCCCCTAATCTCCATGGGCCCCTAACCGCCCCCCTCCTGCTGCTGCCGGGTCCGAGTCCTCAGGGCCCGAGGGCCTCCCATTGCGCTGTCTCCACGCCACACTCTCCCAGTCCATTTTTCGGGCTCCTCACACACGCTGGGTTCAATTTTTTGTCAAGGGTGCTGGCAGATTGGGGCCTCCAAGCTGTCCAGGCCCCAATCTGCCAAACCCCTATACCGCTTCCTATGTTGCTGCCAGGCAAGCCTAGGGGCCCTGCGCCTCCCATTGCGCGTCTCCACGCCACACTCCTCCATTGCCACTTTCAGGTCCCTCACACACAGCTGGTGTGTTTCCATATTTTGTCATAGGGTGCTGGGCAGATGACTGTGCCCCTCCCATTTGCTGCTGCCAGGCCTGTAATCCTGCCATGGGCCCCCGTAACCGCCTGTTCACAGCGTGCTGCATGGGTCCACAAGATGTAGATTACAGGCCTCCCATAGGTGCTGCCAGGCCCCAAAATCTGCCATGGGCCCCCGTACCGCCTCGTCACGCTGCTGCTGGGTCCACAGTGTGACATGGGTCCCTGTACCGCCTCCCATTGCTCCCACTCTGCCATGTGCCACTTTGAGGTCTCCTCACACTCCTGCTGGTTTCCATTTTGTCATAGGTTGCTGTATGGCCTCCCATTGCTGCTGCCTCCACCGCCACACTGTGGCTCCAAACACTGGTTCTGGCCCCGTGACTGGCCAAATGAGTGAAGTGTGCGGTGATTCTAAGATCGACGGCACTCATCTGCATGTCATACTGACTGACAGTATTATTTCTCTTCCCCAGCAGACTCCAAGGGCATTTAAATTAAAGGTACAGTGTTCTGCACTAATATTAAGTCTCTCTGAAGCCTAGAAACACCCTTTTTTAAGTTAAATTCACAGCGAATATATTCGACTCGAATCGAATATTGTCCACGAATTCGCCGAATCAGTCGAATCGAATTTTTGAATACTTTGCTCATCTCTATTTAAACCAAACATTATAATTTTTAAACATTTTTTTTTTTACATTTTTTATTTTATTTTTTTTATATTATTTTTTATTTTTACATACCATGGTGACACTGTACTACTTGTGGGGGGTGATGAAGATTTTTTTTTTTTTTTTTTACACTGATTGCTTTTACACCCCATATAGGATGTAAAAGCAATCATCATTTCTCTTTCTCTCTGTCTGCATTCTTGCAGTCATTGAGAAATACTGAGTGAGCTGTGATTGGTCACAGCTTGTCACATGTACAAGGCTGTTGTGAATAGCCTTGTACCATGTGACCTCTGTGATCATTCACAGATTTCACACGTAGTAAGCAATGATGTCACAAGTGACATCTTTCAGTGATCACATGACCGGGACCTCGTACAGAGGTCCCGTCCGACGATCGGTGTTTCACTGTGTCCGGAGGACACAGCGGACACCGGATTGCGGTGGTGCGCGCGCCTAGGGAGCGCGCACAGCTAGAAAAGGCGGGTGCCGTTTAGGAACGGCAACCCGACCTTGGACTGCCACCGCCCTGCCGTTTATAAACAGCAGGCGGACGGCAAGAGGTTAAAGTATACCAATTGAATCACCCTCTTAATTGGATTTTGAAGGCAACCAAAAACTCAAAAATAAAATTGTAAAAAACAATTTTATTTTTTACTTTTTGGTTGCCTTCAAAATCCCATTAAGAGGGTGATTAAATTGGTATACTGTTTATATTCCCCAAACATTTTGGAGTCCATTACCCATTTATGACGTTCTCTATTAGGAAGTGGGTTGTTTCCACGTTTGTCAAAGCAGTGCCTTCCCTTTATAAATCACTGACAATACCTGTAGAGGATACATCAGTATTAAAGAATTTCAAAGGTATATGTTTGGAGGAAATTTGAAGAAGCTAGTTTTTCTGGCAGGCCCTAAATTGCAACTTACCATGGCTGTGATGTAAGTCTTAGTCTATCAAACGTTAGAGGAATAGGGAAACTCCTCTTCGCTCCACACTGCACATTTGTAGAGAACTTAGAGCTGGTAGCACTATACTACTGGGTAATTGGGTTAGTTCATTTCTTCTTCCTTCTTATTTTCCATGCAATTTTCTTGTCAGTAAACATGCAGAGAACTTTTTGATATAAATGTTTTTCTATGCATGCCATTCAAGGGATGAGTTTTTGGAACTGCTTTGGACACCCTTATCAAGGATTTCAAAGAGGGGTAGAAGTACTCCAACCCAACAGAAGAAGCCTAGGCCTCAAGCTGTGATGATTCATCCACCTTGTTTTCAGGTGCAGAGATCCTTTTGTGCAGGGGTCTCCAAACTTTCTCTATGCAAAGGGCCAGTTTACTGTCCTTCAGACTTCATGGGGACCAGACTGTGACCAGTGGGAATAAAAAAAAAGCCCTGGCATCAGTAGACATAAGCAATGCACCATCACTGGTTTGAATGGAAGGAATAGTGCCCCATTGCTAATATCAATGGAAAGAATAGTGCCCATCAATACTGAGGAATAGTATCCCATCAATGGTGCCAGCTGGTGAAATGGTGCCCCAAGGGCCTGGTAAAGGCAAGCCAAGGACTACATCTGGCCCCCTGGCCGCAGTTTGGAGACCACTGATCTAGTTGAAGTAGTGGATGCTCTGCTGTCTCGGTGGGACTGGTAAAACCTGATCTAAATGTTCTTCCCCTGAAACTACTTCCTCATCTGCTTCAAGGTTGAGATGACAGGCATTCCAGTGATTCCTACAGTTTCAATTTTGCCCAGGCAGATGTGGTACTCCCACATTATTAGACAACAGCAGACATGCTGTGTGCTCTTCAGGTCCTCCAGATCTTCTGCCCCCAGACCAGTTTACAATCCGGCTTCACAGCCCAGGCAAAGAATATTCCCCTTTTCTTTCTTACTCACAAGCAGGGCTTTTTTTTTCAGCTGGAACTTGGTGGAACTCAGTTCCACCACCCCTGGCTCAGGCCCTCTGCTCCTTGCTCACCACTATCACTGGTAAAGACAGAAATACAGCTTCTGTGCTTACAAGTGTCAGCATGTCTCCCAATGGCTCCCATAGGGGCTTCCACTAAGTGCAGGGTGAGGACAAGGGAGATGCAACTGCCTATGGTGCAGTGCGGATGCCAACACCCCCACTGGGCGATCTCCCTGCAAGTGAGAGAGGGAAGCCATCTATAGTACTACATTCAACTGAGTGCTACAGCTTAATACAGCAACAAAAGTAAGATGTGGTAGATGGTGGAGCTTTTAACCACTTCCCGTCCGACCCATGTACATAAACGGCCGGACGGGAGCAGTGCATGAGCGGGTTGCCGTTCATAAATGGAGCCCGCATTTTCAGGCTGTGCGCGCTCCCTAGTAGTGCGCGGCACTGCACTCCAATCGCTTTATGGGACATCTGTGTGAGGTCCCAATCATGTGATCACTGATTAGCCAATCAGTGGTCACATGAATAGCAGTAAGCAAGATGTCACATCTGACATCATTGCTTACTACGTGTGAAATCTGTGAATGATCACAGAGGTCACATGGTACAAGGCTATTCACAACAGCCTTGTACCATGTGACAAGCTGTGATCAATCACAGCTCTCACAGCATTTCTCAATGACTACAAGAATGCAGGCAGAAAAAAGGAGAAATTATTGCTTTTACAACCTTTATGGGTGTAAAAGCAATCAGTGTAAAAAAAAAAAAAAAAATATTCATCACCCCCCACAAGTAGTACAGTGTCATTATAGTAGGGTGACAGTATGTTAAAAAACAAAACAAAAACATAAATAATATAAAAAATAAAATAAAAATGTAAAAAAAAAATGTGAAACATTATAATTTTTTTGTTATAAACTAATTTTTTTACTAAAAAGATAACCGAATAAATTTTGGCCAAGATTTATAAATAAAGATTATTTATTTGCAAAAGTTTATAACAAAAACACTTTTTTTCAACATTTTTGGACATTTTCATTTATATAGCAAAAAAAATAAAAATCCCAGTGGTGAACAAATACCACCAAAATAAATTTTTATCTGTCTCAAAAAAATGCTAAAAAATGTATATGGGTACAGTGTTGCATGACCGCGCAATTGCCATTCAAAGTGTGAGAGCACTGAAAGCTGAAAATTGGCCTGGACAGGAAGGGGGTAAAAGTGTCCGGAGTTGAAGTGGTTAAGGAGTGGGGGAGAAGATGGGGGCAGTGGAGAGGGGTTGCATGCAAAAGTCAGAGCTGAAGATAGGTGAAAGTGAAGATGTGGATGGGGGATGCAGAGGAAAGCAGCTGTGGAAGAAGGCTGAACTCTGTATGCAGCGCACCCCTGAACTCTGCATTCATATGTACATATGCACCACCAAAATCTGCACATTGTGTGTAGCCCCGAACTCTGCATTCTGTAAGTAATACACTCCCAGTACCCTCCCACTGTTGATGAAATTTGACCACACCCAGTATTTAATGCATGTTGAAGGGTTTGTGTGTGTGTGTGTGTGTGTGTGTGTGTGGGGGGGGGGGGGGGGGGGGGGGGGGGGGGGGGGGGGGGGGGGTCATGGTTGAGTTTCTGCACCTATTTTCTGAGAAAAAAAGCCTTGCTCACAAGGTTGTGTTCCTTGTTGTTGTTATCACCTCTGCAAAAGGTGTGTCTGAACTGGCAACTTTGCTCTGTAAATAATAATTTCTGATCTTACAGCAAGACAAGGTGGCATTAGGGTCTAGGGCCTTCTTCTATTCTAAGGTGATTTTAACCATTCACGTCAAACAGGACATTGTGCTTTTGTCCCTCTGTCCAACCCCCTGTACATCGAAAAGATTTTCCTTTATTGCTTAGATGTAGGTCAAGCTGTGTGTATCTACCTCAGCCATTGCTTCCATTATGAAGACTAACTATATCTCTTTGTCATCCCTGACACAGAGGGCAACCAGCTTCTTCTTCCACGATTTCTCAGTGGATCAGGCAAATCTTCATTCAAGCTTATGGTCTTCGGGGTAGGGTGCTATCCTTTCCTGTTAAAGTACACCCCAATAACTTTGAGTGCTTCTTGGGCTTTTCAGCATCAGTTAACTGTTTTCCAGATTTGCAAGGAAACTACCTGGTCTTCTGTTCACACATTTTTTTAATTTTACCAGGTAGATGTTTAGGCCTCATCTGGTAGCAGATTTGGGCATAAGGCTCTTCAGGCAACCCTTTGAGTATACGTCAGTCATCAGTCAGTAGTTTATAGTGAGGCTGTTAGATTTTTGTTTGCTGTGTTGGCCACCCCTTAGTTGGACATCCCAGTTGGCTCTAAATCCTGGGCCCCTTAATATATGAGAAAGAACATTTGATTTGTACTGACTGTAAAAGATAAGGGAGAGATACAGGTCCCTCCCCTCTGTGTTTATGGTTTTATTATTGGCACAAGTTTGTTACATGCTGGGAGTTGGAGGTGTTCTAGCAGGCTGGATGATGTTTTTGGTACTGCTACCTCCTGTAGAGATCAAAAAATGTTTTTTTTAGGACAGCCTCAAGTGGTAAGATAAATCAATCAGGAGTTTTGTGTAAAAAAAGAATCTTTAGCAGTCCCTTGATGGTGATTCTAGATGGATGCTTAGCTACCCTTCACATAATTCTAAGTTGTACAATTGCCTCTTTGGAAATGACAGGGTTCATAGCTTGCAATGAGAAAAATCACTAGCCTTTTACAGGCATGGGTTCAGAAAACATGGATATTTGCAACATTTAAGAGTAAGTGAAATGTTCTCTCGTAAAATATACTCACTTTAGGGTCACTCCATTTGTACTTCTTTGATCTGTCAGAACCTGCCCCTTTAAGATATACCAAAAGTATTAGGACGCCTGCCTTAACACTCGCATAAACTTTAATGGCATCCCAGTCTTAGTCCGTAGGGTTCAATATTGAGTTGGCCACTCTTTGCAGGTATAACAGCTACAACTCTTCCAGGAAGACTGTCCACAAGGTTTAGAAGTGTGTCTATGGGAATGTTTTCTTCCAGAAGCACATTTGTGAGGTCAGGAACTGATGTCTGATGAGAAGGCCAGGCTTTCAGTCTCCGCTCTAATTCATAACAAAGGTGCTCTACGGGTTGAGGTCAGGACTCGGTGCAAGCCAGTCAAGTTCCTCCACCCCAAACTCGCTCATCCATGTCTTTATGGACCTTACTTTGTGCAATAGTGTGCAGTCATGTTGGAACAGGAAGAGGCCATCCACAAACTTTTCTGACATGTTGGAGGCATGAAATTGTCCTAAATGGTATGCTCATGTCTTAAGAGTTCTCTTCACTGGAACTAAGGGGCCAACCCCAACCCCTGAAAAACAACCCCACACTATAATTTCCCCTCCACCAAACTTTGCGCTTGACACAATGCAGTCAGGCAAGTACCGTTTTCCTGGCAACCGCTAAACTAAAACTTGTCCATTGGATTGCTAGACAGAGAAGCGTGATTCATCACTCCAGAGAAAACGTCTCCACTGCTCTAGAGTCCTGTGGCGGCATGCTTTACACCACTGCATGTGATGCTTTGCATTGCACTTGGTGATGTAAGTCTTGGATGCAGCTGGTTGGCTATGGAAACCCATTGCATGAAACTCTCTATGCACTGTTGTGCTAATCTGAAGGCCACATGAAGTTTGGAGATCTTTAGCTATTGACTCTGCAGACAGTTGGTGACTTCTACTCACTGTGCGCTTCAGCATGCACTGACCGCTCTCTGTAATTTTACGTGGCTGAGTTTATATTATTTTCGGTTGATTCCACTTTGTTATAATACCACTAAAAGTTGACCGTGGAATATTTAGTAGCAAGGAAATTTCACGTATGGACTTATTGCACAGGCGGCAACCTATCACGGTACCACCATGGGGGCTGGACACTGCCACAGAAAAAAAAAAATGTAATTTTGTTTGGCTTGGAGCAACAATTTTGGTAATGTGAAACATCAAAAATGCTAAACTTTATTAAATAACATGCCTAGGGGACCCTGCCTGTAAAGTGGCACATTTGTGCTTGAGATGACAAGGGTGGCCTCTTGCACAACTCCCATCCAAGCACCCCCCATTGTGGAGACAGGGAATGCTAAGGAAGCGGAAGGTCGTGGGTGCCAAGAAGCTGGTGCAGGGAACTTGAAATTGGAGATGCTGAGGTTTGATGAGCAGAAGCAAAGTTTGGTCACACGCCAAGTTCGGTAACTGCCTGCCAAAATCAAGGTCAGACTCCAAGTCAGAGAAAGGCAGGGGCTGGCAACATGCTGGCAGCAAGGTACAAAATCAGTAGGCAGAATCTTATTCAAAAGTCTGGGATGGGGTCGGTAAAATGAATAATCAACAGACATAAGCAGACAAGGGGAATCCAAAGAAGAGTCAGATGGAGCTTGGTCAGTAACAGGATCAAGCAGGCTTTCAGGAACACAAGCCACAAGGGTAAAGCTGAAGACCATCCAACATTGATACTAAATTTAAATAGGCTACTGGGCACCATGTACTGTGGATGCACCTGTTCGTCCACCTGTACACAGTGTATACAACCTAGTACAGCAGTACTTACATCTACAAAGCTAAGTACCTAACAGATAATAGTAAAATCCCATGCTACATATGTTAACCCCTTATGAAGTGATGAATAATGTTATGCGAATACAAAAATGGATTTTATGAGTGGCAAATCAATTGTGTTCCCCCAATAAATCAAGAAAATAAAGTTCTTTAGAACTTTGTTGCTCCTACCCTAATACCTTCATACATATATACAACACCATACAAAGTGCATATAATGAGACTGACAATTCAATATTAAATAATAAGACCAACAAAACAGTGCTATAATGGATTTAAAAAATGTCCAATATTATAGCCGTGAGTTATTCAAGTCTCTATTGTGGTTTGTCTTCATAACCTGACACCCAGTCCTCCATATATTCATCTATACTTCAATAATCCATATAATGTATAGTGACTCCCACCCAAGCTAAAAACATAAAAACTGTTTAACCTCCCTGGAGGTATTCCCGAGTGTAGCTAGGGGTAAAGTTTCAGCACCACAAGCAGTAACCCCAAGCTACACTTGGGAATACCTTGCAGCATTGCTCCGGGATCTCTTTCTGCACTTACCTTGTCCTTCACTCCCGCGACGTCCCCCCTGCAGTGTCCCTGGCAATGTCCTCCGTCCGATGCCGGCATCTGTCTTCCGGGTTCTGTTCCCTGTGACGTTGGGACATACGGGGGACGGAACTGGCGGGAAAATTTGAATTTTGTAAAAGTGGCATTTACTAAATTCACTAAAATCGCATAGTAAAAAACATTACTGTATAAAACCATTTCACATTTCCCACCACCAACACACTCATGCGCTCATCTCCAGATATGGACCTGCTGGTGATCAGCTCAAACACGTTTACCCTCTCTGGGACTGTTCTTTGCTACCACTTCACTGAAACGCCTCTCCACACTTTTCCTCCTATGGACACTTTGGGTGATGTAAATCGCATTCACTTTAAT